CTGTTTGAACCGCAAGGTGGGCGGTTAAAGCTCACCAGTTGCTCCTTGGAAACCCTATACAGGTTGGAACCAGCTCTATGGCACTCAACAACATTGTGCCTTAGCAACCCTATGCATATTCAAAGGAAACACCATGTGGTCCAGCGCCATCCTCACAATTGTTATGTTTGTGCTCATTGTCAATCCTTCACTGACCCTCCACCAAGCACAATGTTGTTTTCCTGAGAATGTCTGAAGTTATGTCTCATCATCATCCTGGCTTCTAATTGTATCTTTGTATCATGTATTATCCTTTTAATGGTCTGTTCTGTTTTCCCCCTTAGTTATTATCTAGTGCTGCTATAACAGAAATACTACACGTGAGACCTTAAACTAATTTTCTCAGGTTGTTGGTTCCGATTCATAGCAATCTTATATAGGGTTTTTTTGTTGTTTTTTGATTTAAGATTTTTTATTGTGGATTCAGTGAAAGTTTACATTCAACAAATCATACACCTTGTTTCATTACAATGATTATAATCCCCTGCATGTACCATCAGTTCACAGTATTTCTCTCTATTCACTTTAGCTTTTAAAAAAACAAAACAAAAAAAAAACCCACTCTGGAGAATAGGTTAATTTACATCTCCAAAGGGCACAAGTCTGGATGCTTCACTTTCAGCTCTAGCCCTCTGTGGCTATGTTCTTGTACATGGGCTCAAGTATCCTCAGTTCTCACCACACTTTGGACCAACCAGCCCTTCCTCTTCTCTCTCTCATCTCCAGGTGAATGGGATTCAGGAGAGTGGGGTTGAACTCAGCCCATTTCTTCATTGCTGCCTTTCCCCTCTTCAACTCACCAGTAGACCACTGTGGTCACCAACAAGCTTACATGTTTATTTGTGTGTTCCTTTTGCATTTCAGTCTTAAAGGGGAGTTTGTCCTGAAGGAACTTGATTGCTTGCCTTGATGTCTTCCTGGCAAACAGCTTGCTTATTCTTGTAGTAGTCTGACATGCTGACATTTTTGTTTTGGGTTTTTCCTTATGATCTTTCTTTGAAGACTGTAGCTTTTCCAGTCTGCCTGTCCTTTCTAGTGGGAATGGCCCACCTCATAAGATTCCTTCCCTCTAAGGTCGTCCTGTTCACTACAAAGACTTTGCAAGAGGCCTATTTCACTGGGCAAGTTCTAGAACCCCTTTTAGGTATTCCAATCAGTTATAGCTGAAGACGGGCTTACAACAAGTTTTCTCTAATCATGTTTCCCAACATACCTTTCTATTCCACTCAAGTGTAAGTCAAGCATTTTAGTATATTTCCCTTGTTCAAGCTATACCCAGAGCCCTGTATTTCCAAGGTTGAGCATGCATCACTATTTACCTGTGTCCCACTTAGGCCACACATACCTGTCAGTGTTCCCCTATCTATCATATTCTTCCGCCTTCTCCCCCTTCTTGTATTGCCCACCCCATTTCTTCCCTCTATTTAAGACAGTCTATTTTATCCTGTAATCTACCTGAATCTCTGTTACTTTGTGTTTACCTGCTTTCACATTATATTTGTTTTGATCATAGACTGACCTTCCAGATCCTTTGTTCTTGACTCTTCCATTTTGTTGACTTGAGTTCAGGGTGATGCTGCCACGTACGTCATTCTGTAGTTGTTGTCTGGTCTTGTCGGTTCTCAGCCCACAGAACTTCTTTAGGATGTTTCATAGCAGGTTTGGCTTTGGCAAAATCCCTTAGCTTCTGTTTATCCTGGAGTGTTTTGATTACACCATCATAATTTGATTGACAGCTTTGCTGGGTAGAGGATTCTTGGGTGGCAGTTTTTTTCTTTCAGAGTTTTATATATATGTCTCCCCATTGCCTTCTTGCCTGCATGGTTTCTTTTGAGAGATCTGGGCTTAATTCGATTTGCTTGCCTTTATCTGTTTCACTTCTCTTTCCCCTAGCTGCTTTCAGGATCCTGTAGGTCTCCTCTGTGGATTTGTCTGATTCTTCCTGTTTCGGAGTGCCAATAATTCATGTTGTTCACCATGAGTCTTAGGCCTTCTTCAGATTTTTTTTAACCTTTTTTTGTGTTTGTTCTTCTATCTTAGTAGTGTTGAGAGATTTATCTTCTAGCTCACTAGTTCTGGCTTCTATCTCTTCAATTCTAATCTTTTGCCCATATCTGATATTCTGTTATTAATCATTTCTCTTTCTATATGTTTTGAATTATTTCCAATGCTGTATCTATCTTATTTGATTGTTCCTGTAGTGCTTTCTTGACTTTTTATTTTTCTCAGTTCCTTCTCAGGCATTTCCAAAGCCTGCCCATCTTTCAGTATGTAATGTAGGTCTACTTCCAGCTCATTTGTCTCAGTCACTTTTTTATCTCGTTTCTGGACATGTGCAGATATGGTCATCTGCTTCTGTTTTTTTTTGGCATATTCAGGAATTATCTGTGGCCTTAAATACTTACATGGGTATGTATTTTCAAGATGCCACTGCTTGTCATTTTGACGTAACTTAGGATTTAATTTCCAGTTATATTGTCTCTTTAAATTTTGAGGAGATCTGTGTGCATGCATAGTAGAACCCTCTGAGGGTGGGGCTGGGGTGTCCGCTTGCTGAAGCACCCCTATAGTCACCAGAATAGAGGTGCACAGATAACGAATGTCCACACCTTTATCTCCGCAGTTCTGTCAAGCATCCGTGGTGGCTCTGGGAACAGCTGAGTGTCTTTAATTAGAAAGCAATGGATTTCTTGGCTTCTGCTACAAATTCCTCTAGCTGTAAGCTTCTAAATATTCGTTTATATGTGGTTCAGAATTCTGGCACCACTCCCTGAGCCTGCTTTGTCCAGTATTCTGTGTTGTTTGCCGGTTGAGCTCCTCACTGAACTTCCAGCCGAGCCACCATCTAGTATGTTTGAATTGTTGACCTAGTGGTCTACATTGTTGACCTAGTGGTCTACTGTAGTATCCCTACAGCACCACACCAGGACTCCACAGTTTGTAGGCTAGAAGTTCAAATTCAGGGGGAAGGTTTTCTTTACTAGTTCTGGAGGAAGGTTCTTTGATCTTTTTCTGCTCAAGCTTCATGTGGCATGGCATATCTTACCTTATTTCTGCTTGCTCACTGGTTTAATCTTCTATACATCCTACACTAATCCTATTTCATTAACATAAAATAACCACATTACAGCTATTTTGGTAGTAAACAAATTCAATCCATAACACTCACTCTGTCCTTTAGCCTTGATAGATTTTTGCTCAAACATTTTGTGATTTGGGTAAAATAGAAAGTTTACCATTTGTATGCTCCAGTTTGGTGACACTGTTTGTCGTCCGTTCTAAGGAGTTCAGTTTCAGTCCTGCAGTGTCTATACGCAGTCTGTTCCTATTGTGAACCTTTTAGAACAAATACCAAGTAGCCAGGGTTCACAAAGTCCATCAGTCCTCTGGACTAATTGAAGAAAATCAGACCGAGGAAACATTCTTTCCCCCTTCCATACAAGAGACTGATAATTACATCTTTAAGATCCCAGTCATTATTCACCAAAGGCACTCCAGGGAGTGTAGCTGGTTATGAGTTAGAATCTATCAGCCACTTCACCGAAGAAAGAAGAAATTTACAGCCTTAGAAACCCTGTGTTCCTTTAACCACCAACGAGTCCTGGTGTGGCACTGCAGGTTAATAATGCAAGGTCAGTGGTTCAAACTCACCAGCCACTCCTCAGAAACTGTATACAGGATTGCTATATCAGAACTGATAGGCTTAATGACAACTATTCACCAAGTAGGATACAGAACATTGCCTTGGTTATGCCAATTAACCTTGGTGTCTCCCCCAAGACTACAGTCCGGAGTCTACAGGCCAAGTAATTCATTCCCTGCAGGTACTTAGGGGCGAAGTTATAAAAACTTGAGACCTATATTATATACTCTTCTAGTATACAAATGTTATTTTGTAAAGTACCATCATCGAGTCAGTTCTGACCCTGTTCAGGGCGTCTGAGGAGCTTGAACTACCAACCTTGCAGTCCAGCACATTAACCCACAGTGCCACACAGGACTCCATGGATGTATTTACAGCATATATAAATACAAATGTAGAAATATCCTGTCAAACCTGTATATGCAACCATGGTGTGGTGCTGTGGGTTAATATGCTGGACTGCAAAGTTGGTTTGAACTGAAAGGCTGTCGGTACAAACTCATCAGCCGCTCCTCAGAAATCCTATACAGGGTCAGTAGGGGTCAGAACTGACTCAACAGCATTTAACATCCATATAATTTTTCAGAAAATTAATCATATAGTTCAATTCTTCTACTTTCCATTTCTGATGAAATTCCCTATTTGTAGTCTTTATGATCATTTACTCTTTATGTACACCAAATGCTGGGTCAGCATAGGGCCTGCTTCTTCACATCTAATGTTCATTAATATAATTGTTATGTGCCGTGGAGTCGGCTCCGACTCATAGCAACCCTGTACAGGATTTCTGAGGCTGTAAATCTTTACGAGAGCAGAAAGCCTCATCTTTCTCCCACGGAACAGCTGGTAGTTTTGAACTGCTGACCTTGCGGTTCGCAGCCCGATTCGTAACCACTACGCTACTACCAGAGCTCCTTCATTAATATAATACACATGTGGAAAATACTTTATGTGGTAATGAATGAGTTTTAAGAGCATGACCCTTGAGCGAAGGGATTAGAAAAACACAGCCTATAGACTAGGCTTCAGTTTTTGTTAATGATCAAGTGATATAGAACGGATCAAGTGATATAGAACGGTTTCTACATGTTGCTTAATCATAGAGCATTTTGTATCTTACATCTTCAAAATGCACCCTCCTCCCTTCTTTTGACAGGTAAACACTACATGTGAAGAGTGGTGAAAGGGAGCGCTGATCCCTGGAGAGGGAAAACACTGGTCAGCATCACGTGGACTTACAACCCAAAGTGCAGTCTGGAGATGCTGCTAAAGTAGTTTTGCTACCGCTTTCCTCCATTCCGTCAAAACTCTTCACAACATGGGCTGCATGAAATCAAAGCAAACGTTCCCATTTCCTACCACATTAGAGAATGAGAAGCGACATGCAAGTGAAGAAAGTTTTATGCCAGAGGGGCGACTGCTACCAAGGATGCCTTTGCCAGTTGTTAAAGAGAAAGTGGAGACACCCACCGAGCCCAATAGTTTGATCCTCGAATATGCACACCGTCTGTCCCAGGAAATCTTGAATGATGCCTTGCAGCAGTGGGCATGCAATAACATCAGATACTGTGATATCCCATACATTGAGAGTGAGGGGCCCTGACGCGGAAGGGTAACTCTTCCTTCATCTGTGGTTAGAGTTGGTGCTAGTTTTAAATACATGAAACAAAAGCAAAAACTGGTGTGAATAGTAAAATAACTCTTTTTAAAAGTATAACTTACCTAGCGTAGGGACACAACATGAAATGTGTTGAACAGTTCTATGTTAGTATCAGTTCCTACTTGCTTGATCTTGGGTTTAGTCATTTAAGGGCAACAGTAATCAGCTAGCTGCATGTGATACAACCAAAGAAAATACTTAAAACATAATTCATACCGTTCAAGTAACTACTTATATTAATTTACATCCACACAAACAAGCTAAAGACTTGAAAAGGAATCAGCATTTAAGCCATAGTGATTATCAGGGAGTCTTGGTTATTAAAATCATCAACCATTAGAAAATGTTCAACTTAAACCCTGTCCTTTTTAAGATATTTATTTTTGTAGAATAAGAACATAACTATCATCTTGAGTCTCAGGGCCCTAACTAACCACAGTTGCTACTAGATGACTTAGACCTTATGTCTTAAAAAGATGTATAAAAGCCATGATGTTCCATAAATGTCCACTGCATTGAATTAAAACCCAGTGATAAAACTATATAAGAAAATCTTAAAATAACAGAAGCGTCGTCTTCAAGGTAAAAGGAAAACCATGGCATCAGTGCTAACTGTACAAAAGCCAAGCTGTCTTACCTGGCTTACTAAGCACTCATTCTTAATGTCTGGTTGACTGGTGGTACTGTCATCATTCAAACAACTGTGGCACCTGATATAATGCACAGGATTTATGGTTACACTGCAGAACAGAGACTAACACTCCTCCAATGAAACAAAGTCAACCCATGCTTTAAAGAGTACTCATGTATTTTTTTAAATGGCAACACAATGCCTGTAGAGCAGTTATAGCCATAAAGTTTAGCAGTCTTTAAAATGTTTTTTAACTGCCAAAGCACACTCCCTACCCCCACCAATTATTTTTTTTAAAAATTAAGTACTGTTTGAGACTTCAATGGTAACTGAAAATTTGAGGACAACTGAAAATTTGAGGACAATTGGGAGGAAGATATAAACTTGTAGGAAAATTGGAACTGGCTGTCTAGAATTGCCTTTTCATCAAGATTTGCTCCACATTGAGTAGGGAATTACTTATGTTGGATCATCTTATTAAATTACAATAGATCCTTGTCATTTGATGGCAGAAAAAGTCTTGTAGTCTCTAGTGAGATAGGCATTTGGCCTTGTAAACAGGCAGAAAAGCTACCTCTAATTTTAACGATTATACTTTAAACCCCACAACCCAATGTAGTGAATTCTGCAAAGAAATGGCTCTTAAAGATGAGCAATGTGCCATTTTTAGTTGCTTTTGCACACGACCATTTCACATGAATGTCACATAGTTCCAAGATCTATACTTTCCTACTGTTTTAGAATCATATGTTATTAGGTGCCATCGAGTAGGTACCGAATCATAGTGACCTTATTATGCACAGCAGAACAAAACACTGCCCGAACGTGGACCAACCTCACTATTGTTGCCACGCTTGAGTCCACCATTGCTGCTACTTGGCCAATCCCCCTCTTTTTCTCTGACCCTCCACCTTACCAAAAATGATATCCTTCTCCAGAGACTGTTCCCTCCTAACAGCAGTATTGTCCAAAGTATGAGAGACGAAGTTTGGCCATCTTGGCCTCCAAGGAACACTCTGGCTGCACTTCTTCCAACATGGATCTGTTTGTTCTTTTGGCAGCCCATGGAACTTTCAATATTCTCCTCCAACACCATAACTCAAAAGCATAAATTCTTCTACGGTCTTCCTTATTTACTGTCCATGCATATGAGGTTACTGAAAATACCATGGCTGCTGCTTATTATTAGGTAAGGAAAATAATATGGCAAGAAGACAAAAACCTATAAAGTTGTTTATCACAGTAAATATTTCAACTTCACGTTTCTTCTCTGCTCTAGACCCTTATTTCCCAGGGATGTAACAGGGCAGCTGCCAGATATATACCTAGCTCCAACATACCTAGCTCCAAGTCTAGAGTTGTTTGCCACTGCAAAAGCGAGTTTCTAATGTTTTAAACTGAGAGAGAAGACACAAGAGCAATTTTCTTACCAAATTGCTACGTGCCCAGCCACTTCATCTTTCCCTCAGGAACATCCAGTGGAGCAGATGAGCTTCCACCAGTGGACAAACACCCACCAGGTAGCAATTGTGCAAGCAGCAGAGTATCAGGAAATGTGTCGATTCCTTATTTACAAAAATTCACATAACTCCATAAATGTACTTCACTGATGCCCCTTCCTAGTTAGAGTCTTTAGTTACATGCCTATGGTTCCAGAATTCTCAACTTTCCATTGCCTTAGCAGTTCTTTGCCAACTGCTTTTGGCTATTAACACTTATAACAATATTTTGAAGGGAACACAAATGATTGCCATCTTAATCCCAAAGGAATATTATCTGTCTAAATGCCTTATTGTTAAAAATAGACATAATGAATGAATGAAGTAGCATGATACAGTCTTAATATTATTGGCATAAGAAAGGGTACTGCAGATATTATATGCTTATGCCTTCACACTGCATTTGTGTGACTAACATCGGCATATGTCTTCCTTAGAGCTGTGGGCACTGACTCAGAAATACTACTTGCATCTTAGTTCACAGTATTCTAAGTTTTGTTAGCAAATCTTACTCCCTGTAACATGTAGCTATGCAATGGTATATTTTTTTCCAGATATTTTTGTTAAAAAATTTTTGTAACTGTACAATAAAGTCCAGTTACAATGGAGCTCTGGTAGCATAGTGGTTATGAATCGGGCTGCAAACCTTAAGGGTCAGTGGTTCGAAACTGCCAGCTGCTCCGCGGGAGAAAGATGAGGCTTTCTACTCCCGTAAAGATTTACAGCCTCGGAAATCCTGTGCAGCGTCGCTATGAGTCGGAACTGACTCCATGGCACATAACATCAACAGACATAGCCATCTGACTATGTTCCTCACTGTAGTATGCTGTCTAGAATTGTGGTCAAGCTAGAACGTGCCAAGGGGAATAGACTATTATTAAGCTAAGTCTTTAGGAAAGATTACACATTCCTTTCCCCACTTAGCTACAAGAAGTTCAAGAACAACATTAAGAACAAAGGATATCTGATTTCTAAATTGATTGATCTTATTATCACTTCAAATTAAAGCTCTTGATAACTTCTGGGGGGGCGGAAGGTAGCAAGCACTTGAACTGACAGTTGGAATAGATTGGTTCATAGGATATGTATATAGTTAATATAACAAATATTCTTCAAAACTCTTTTGCTTTAAATTCTTTGATAAAAATGTTGTTTCCATTTATGAAATGCATGCTAAATCACTGTGTATCTCTCTGGACTCTGAGGTATAGGATTGATGAGACATACATGTTCCTCTGGCATCTTAGACATTGGGGATAGGTCTGGTGGCATGCATGGGTCCCCAGGGATGCTGACAGGTTGATGGGTCACATATGTCCTTACAGATTATACCACCTCATACAATAAATACCTTGTAAAAACAGTAATTTGTAGCGCATGCCCATTTCTTCTGTTTCAAACAGTTATGCAGGTCCCCTTCTGAAACCAGCTGCCCAGTAACCCCAGAGGCAGAAACTGTAGATGAGTGCTGTATGTCCCATGAGTCACAAAGGCCTTAAAGTTACTGTGCCATTTTATATTTCAACAGCAATAGAGTTCTACACACCAGCTGTTATTGTTGGGCTTTTTAATTTAAAAAATTTAGATGTGTAATGGTATCACATGATGGTCTTTATAGTTGCACGTATAGTAAACCTGACATTATTTGGGGGAGTTTTAATAGATGTATAGGTTTGTACAGTGACCACCCAAGTCAGGATGCAGAAGTCCCGTGGTCCAACAAGAGTCCTCTGTTGCTCAGCTGCAGTCACAACCTCTCCTGCCCCTAATCTTTGGCAACCACTGATCTATTCTGTCCCAAACCGTTTCCCTTTACCAGAATGTCATATAAGTGAAATTACAGTATATGACCCTCTTGAGATTAGCTTCTCAATCAGCATAATGCCTTTAAGATTTATCCATTTAGTGTGTGGGGTCCTGTAGGACTACTAACCATACAAGGTCAGTGATTCAAACACACCAGCCACCCCTCAGAAATCCTATAAAGGATTGCTATTTGTCAGAACTGACTCAATGGTACTTTAGTTCTCTTTATTACTGTTCCAGCTTCTGGCACTTATGTAACTGCTATAAGTATGAGTTTTATGTGAACACAACTTTCTCTATAGTAGTGACCTAGAAACAGGTTTACAAGCTAAGTGTATGTTTATTAGAATTCAAACTCTTTTTCTTGAGTGGCTGTGTCATTTTGCGTTCCCACCAGCAATGTATCAGGAGTTCAGCTGCTTTGCACTCATTAGCACTTGGTTCTATCATTTGGTTTACCCATCATAAAAAGTGTGTAGAGGTATTATCTATGTTTATAATTTTCATTTTTCTAATGGTGCTATAGGCTAAAGAACTGGACTGCTTACCACAAAGTCGATGGTTCAAACCCATCAGCTGTTTCTTGGACTCCCTGTAGAGTTACTTAACAGTCACTAATGATGTTGAACATGTTTTCTTTTTTCATATGCTTGCTTGCCATCCATAGGTGTCTTAGGTGAAATAGCTGTTCAAGTCTTTTATCTACTTAAACAAACTGGATTCTTTGTTACTATTGTTTAGTTTGACACTTCCTTTTTATTCCTTTTTTTCAGAAAGTTTTAAAATTTGATGAAGTTTGTTTTACTGGATGTTTGGTGTCCTAAGAACTCTTTGCTGAACCCAAGATCATAGATACTTTGTATTTTCTTGTAAAACTTAATTTTGCAACACTTAGAAAAGATTACCCTTTTTCCATGAAGTGTGTATGTTAGTCAAAAATCAGTTGGCCACATTTGTGTGGGTCATTCTGAGCTCCAAATCTGTCTCATAGATTTGTGTTATCCTTTCACCCCCATAGTATGAGGGGCTTCAAAAAGTTCATGGAAAACTTTTATTTCATTTCTCCATGAACTTCTTGAAGCTGCTGTGTAGGGTCTCTTTCTTGTAGCTTTATACCCATTTAAGAAGTTGGATAGTATGAATCCTTTAAGGTTGCTCTTTTCAATATTGTTTAGGACTTTCTAGTGTTGTGGACTCCTAGTGTAATGTTCTCTCTGTCCCCCTCTCTCAGGGCTCTGAGGAATCAGCCACGAGTCACCACTTGTCAGTAAGCATTCGTTCCCAGGCAGTTTATTGCAAAGTGAAAGGACACTTCAAAGAGACAAGTGGGTCCGTCTCTGGTAGTGGAGAAGACCCCGTGGAGTCAAGGGCTTGATCATTAAGTACAGTTTTTCTCTTCCTGGTTTCAGCTGCCTTCCCCTAGAAGCAGGTCTGATGCTGCTCTTCACGGATTACTTAAGAATCAAATATAATCCTCCCCTCACGTAAGATGTAAAGGGGTGTAGGGTACTATTACCCACCCCCCTTATGTTTCCTTTGTGGTTGTCCGCTATTTTGACTCTGCTTGGTGGTTTGGACCTCAAGGTTTCTTGCCTTGATTCCTTTTACCCTTTATGTGGGTGTCAATAAGCTAACTGCCCTGTCCTTTACTGTGTATCTCTTAACTGCTCAATTCAGTGTGGCACTGTAGGGTCAGCACTGTATTTTGAACCACAAGGTCAGCAGTTCAAACCCAGGAGCTGATCCTTGGAAACCCTATGAGTCAAACTACTCAAAGGCACTTAACCAAGTGTCTCTTAATTCTAAACTGTATATGGAACACAGTGTCTCTATGATAATTTCTGCTTGGAATTTTGCTGGAATTGTGCTATATAGGTGAACTTGGGAAGAACTGACATCTTTAACAATACTGAGTCTTCAAATAATTAACACAATCTCTTTAGGTTCTTGTTCTCAGTACTTTTCTTTCATATACTTTATTTGATGTAATTGAGAATAGCATTAATTTTGTCTTCTAGTTGCAACCAAGGTATATAGAAATTTAATAGATCAATCTTTAGACTTTACTAAAATCAAACCACACTGACTAGGACCTCCAATTCAACATTACATTGAAATACAATTAATATCCAAGTGTTTA